TTATCCAGAAAGTCACGTCTGAGAAACGATCCACTATGTCATATGGGCCTTCCCATAGGGATTATACAACCACATCTCATCTCCTGGTACAAAGCTGACTTCAGTAGATCTCTTATCACAACACAGCTTCATGGAATCAGCAGACGTTTTCAAGTTTGAATGCACTTGATGGTGAATATCATCCAAGCTTTCAGATAACACTTTCACGAACTCTGACACATTTTCAGGCAACTCTTCGTAAGGTGGTCGTCATGTTATCAGGTCTACTGGCAACCAAAGTTCCCGACCAAACATCAGTTTTACTGGAGTGTATCCAGTGGCTTCATGCTCTGCTCTATAGGCCATCAACAGCATAGGGAGTAAGACATCCCAGTCATCTTGGCAGCTATTACAAAACTTTGCCAATTCCTGTCCCAGTGTCCAATTGTACTTTTCTACCATCCCATAAGACTGTGGGTGAAGTAGCGTTGTCCCAGCCTTTCGTATGCCAAACAACTTGCAGCATTCATGGAACACAGCTGATTCAAAGTTACGGCCTTGATCCGAATGCAGTTCGTATGGCACACCAAATCTGAAGAAGAAATCACTAATACCCAAAGCTACAGTTGTAGCTTCCTGATTTGGTATTGCATATGCTTCAGGCCACTTGGTGAAATAATCCATCATCACACAAATGTACCTGTTTCGAGCACGAGTTTGGGGCAAAGGACCAGCAATGTCAACAGCTACTTTTTCCATTGGAGCACGTCCCTTATGCTTGGGTCCCCTTTTAGCACAACATGTACTGCAGGTCCTGTACCATTCTTCCAAATCTTGCCTCATACCTATCCAGTAAAATTTCTGTCGTAGGTGACTCAATGTCTTCATAACTCCAAGATGTCCTCCTGTTAAACTATCATGGGATTGAGACAGCACAACTTCCTGAAACTTTCTCGGTATAACTGTTTGCCAGCTCATCATTTTCCCATCTCCGGACAATAATACCATCTTCAAGCTTCAACTGGTCCCATTGTGCCCAAGAGTTCTTTGTCACAGGGCTTAAGCTAGAAACCTTCTCCCAAGCAGGGTGG